GTATGCTGCCTCAGGCCGCAGACACTCCTGTGATCATCTCAAGGGCCTCCCGCTGAAGAGCTAGTCCTAATCCAGGGATCCCCTCCCACCAGGCAGGCTCCCCCAGAAGCAGCCCTGCCCAGCCGCAGTGTGCAGAATGTGCAAGACGCCAGAGGACCAGCAAGAGAGATGCTCTGACCACTGCAACTCAGCTTATCTGCTATCTGTGATGGACGGAGCTGTCTCCCCCAGGAGAGGGCACTGAGGTCCTAGCATGAGCCCCTCCCCTCCCTGCGAATAGAAACTCAGTTGGCAATAGTGTCTGCGGGGCTCACTTGTCCACGCGAGGTCATACTGCAGCCAGAGAGGGTGGGCCTCAATCCCACAGGAGCGGGTCCTTATGAAAGAGAAGAGACGGGCATGGCGAAGGTGGAGGTGGGAGTGTCAGAGCCACAGCAAACAAAGGTGAGGACCGCTGACGTCATGGATCACGAGGAACCAGGAGACGTGGGGCAGATTCCCACCCGAGCTCCTGGAAGAGCAGCCGGGCTCACACCTTGGTTCTCAACCTCCAGCCTCCCGAACTGTGAGGCTGTGAAATTCTGATTTTAGGAAGCCGGCTGGTCAGGCTGGGCCCTTTGCTATGGCAGCCCCCAGGAAATGCCCACAGCCCCCTCGCTCCCGAGAGAAGGACACCCAAGGGGGGAGGAGCTTTGGGAAGACCATGGTGCTTCTCCTGTGAGCTTTTGGAAGCCCCCAGGACGCAAGAGGAGGCTTGCCTCTCCGGATGCAGGAGGAGAGAGAAATTCCTGCTGGAAGGAGCAGGGCCAAGGGAGGTATGTGTTTAGGATGCTTCTGTCAACAACCACATGCAACCGAGACGGTGGGATGGAAAGACCGGCACAAACGAGCAGGACCGTGGAATCCCGAGCCCTGACTGGCCAGGCGAGGCCTCGCTGTCTGGAGGGTGCCTCAATCCCAACTGCACTTGTGCTCTCAGGGTTCTTCCACTAGGAGCTTTTCTGCCCCCAAGGATGGGGTGGGCCTCCCTCGGATACCTGCTGGTTCTAACAAGCTAGAGAAGACAACACTGTGTGGTGCATGTGTTCTGGTAACCAAAGGCTTCGTCAGTGCCACCCATGAGCACGCTGTTACAGACTGGGCTGCTGACCACCAGGTCAGCAGTTCACCACCACTGGCTACTCCTCTGAAGAAAGACGAGGCTGTCTACTCTAGAGCTACAATCGCAGAAAAACCCTCAGGGCTGCCTTATCTGTCTCCCAGCGTCACCAGGAATTGGAGCCAACTTGATGGCAGTGAGTTGGACTTCACTCCGTTTGGGGGAGGACAGACAGCTCCTCGCATCCTCGTCACACACACACACACACACACACACACACACACACGCCGATTCTCCAGCCAAGGCTCCCTCCCACCGGGGCCCACTCACCTTGGGCGTGACAGGGCTGCCCTGGGGTGTCCTCTTGTCCACCGGAGAAGGTGTCTCAGGGGACCTTGGGAGGTCAGGACTGATGTCCTCCTTCCTCTGGCCTGGGCCGCACCCGTGGATGTTTTGGAGCGGCGTCCTGGGAGAGGGGGGTCTAGCCTCTGGCTCCTGGAGGTCCGAGCACCCTGGGCTCGCTCGGGCGGCCTCCTGCCCGTCACGCCCCGTGTTTTCTTCACAAGAGGCAAAGTTCAGCTTGTGCTTCAGCTCCTTGTTAATGCCACCGTCATCCATCCCGGTCACAGAGCCTCACCACGTCGTCGGCAAGGGGGTTCTGGCCGAGGGAGGAGGAGCAAGAGAGGAGGTGGCCAGCAAGCCCCCTGGCTGCAGCCTGCCATGCCCTGCCCCACCAGGGCCACTGGGATGCAGAGACCTGGCCGTCTCATCCCTTCAACACGCCCCTCCTCTGCAAAACCGCCCTGGGCTCAATCCCACCACCGCTAGGTCCTGGCTCTGTGGGGGACACGTCCAGCTGGCTCACAGTCTCCTGACCCCACAGAGCCCGCCACCTGCCATTTAACACTGCCTTCCAAAGAGGCTCATCAGGCAACTTGGAGACAAGATCATTGCTGGAAAGGAAGTGTTCTCAGGCTTCAGCACTGACCCTCTCCTCGTCCCTGCTCCCACCCGCCCTCCCAGTGGCTGTAAGTCTTGCTGGGAGTCTACTCTGGCTCCTCGTGATGTTGTAGGGCAGGGCGGAGCTGCCCCACAGGATGCCTGAGGCGGTGACCTTGACGGAAGGTTGCCACCTTTGTCTTCCCCAGGGCCTGGTGGGGCTGACCTAGCTCTTAGCAGTGGAGCGCTTTAATCACTGCGTCACCCAGGCTCCTGCCTCATGGTGAGTCAAGAACAAACCCGGTACCATTCCGACTCACAGGGTCGCTACAGGACAGAGGAGAACGGTTCTTTAGTTTGTGGAGCTGTAAATCTTTACGGGAGCAGACAGCCTCATCATTCTCCCGAGCGGCAGCTGCAGGAGTTGAACTGGTGGTTAGCAGCCGACTGCACCAGAGGAGCTCTTTAGAATCTGGCACCACCTGGATATCATAAAGGCGCTTTGGTGGCACGGTGATTACGTGTTGGGCTGCTAACCCGAAAGCCAGCAGTTCAAAACCACCAGCGGCGGGAGAAAGTTACAATCTCAGAAACCCAAACCTATCCTAGAGAGTCGGCATCCACTGAACAGCAGAGAGTCTGGATACCACGTTGATCCAACCTCCTCACGCACACCGTGACTGCAGATTATTTCCTGCTAAAGACACCTCTTAGAGCTCTCGGGAATACACCTGCCCTAATGCAGACCCCTGGCCCCGAGGCTGTCACATGGAATTTTGAAGCCCACAGGAGAAAGAGGAGACAGGCCAACAGCAGAGAAGGGCTTTCAAATGATGGTTGTTCTTCACAAAAATGCCTTACTTTGCAAAATGCTTTCTAGTCTTCTCTTCAATCTCCCTGGCGACTCCGTAGGCTTAAGAGTTGGTGGTTCAAACCCACCAACAGCTCTGCGGGGGTGGGGGGGGGCTCTCTGCTTCTGTGAAGCTTCACAGAGTCTCAGAAACCCTAGAGTGGGGCACCCTGAGCTGGGATCAACTTGATGGCAGAGGGTGGGTGGATGTTAATCAGTCAAGAGCCCTTTAGCTCCATCACATCATCTCTTGCACGTGGAAGCCTTGTGGGTACGGACCAAAACCTGTCTGAAAGAGCACCCTGACCAGGCGGTCCACAGCGAGGACAAGCAGATGGGCCCTCGGCACCCTGTGCGGATGGTTTCTGGGTGGCCCACAGACAAAGGTTTTGCTTCACGAGGGGTCCACAGCGACAAGATGAATCATGGCTGAAACCAATTTCCATTCTCTCTGTGTCCCTTGTCCCCCTGGCTGGCCACCTCTCCTGCTTTCTCCCTCTTCGCCTATGTCTCCCCCTCCCTCCTTCCTCCACTCCCAAGAAACCCAACTGGGTGTGGGATCTGAAAGTACTTCCGTCTTTGCTAAGTGCAGACCCCACCCTTCCTTGGCCCCTGCCTCCCCTACAGTTCACCATCAGGTAAACTTCAGCCCACAGCCTGCAGCCCCTGCCACGCACCTTGTCAGGGGACCAGCAGCCCTCAGAGGCCATCCAAGCTCCAGCCACCACAGGGAGATGGTTCCAGGCTGCTTTCTAGAGGGGAAATTAGTACCAGCTGAGACCCCCACCCAGCCGCCAGTTTCCTGTTTTCAAACCAGTGGGCCAGGTGGAGCTGTTCCTCCCTCCCACCCACCTGTAGCTGATGGACTCCCAGGAAGCCACGCCAGCCACCAGCCTCTCGGGGAGGGGCGGGGGCTAGGGACCTGGTCATGGATGGAGCCAAGGGGGTGGCTTCAGAGGGGTGGCCCCCTGGCCTTTCCTCAGGCCTGGACATGCAGCAGCCCCCAAGACTCCTACTCACTCCTGATGGCCCATCTGCCCAGGGCGTCAGCAGTGTCCCTGTCATCACGGTGATCCTGCCAAAGCTCTCCTGTCCCCATTCCCTGTTCCATGCTCACAGACCACGCGTGTGGCCATGGTTTCCAAATTGTTTAGTGGTTGCCCCCCAAGTCAATGCCCACTTTCCTATAAAGCCCACTGCCGGGGAGTGGATTCAAAGTCACAGCAGCCCTGTAGGACGGAGAAGTGTCCCTGGATGCTGTTCTTGTTGGGGGCCCCTGAGTGGCTCATTGCCAGGTCCTGTGCCATCCGCACAGTGGTTCCTCTGTCTGACCTCACTGTCGCAGCCACGGTGCCAATCCATCTTGTCGAGGCTCTCTCTCTCGTTCTCTAGCTGCCCCTGTACTTGACCAAGCACGACATCCTTCCTTCTCCAGGACTGGTCTCTGCTGACAACACGTCCAAAGGACAGGAGGCCAAGTCTGGCCCCGTTTGCCTCTCAGGAGCATTTGTTCTGGCTGTACTTCTTCTGAGACAGAGCAGTCCGTGGTACTTTCCACATTCTTCCACCATCATTCATAGGCACCGATTCTTCTTCGGTTGTCCTTGTTCAACGGCCAACTGTCTCATGCCCAGGAGGCCATGGCCCCATCAGTCAAATGCTCCACAGGGTTTCAGGGGCCCCATCACCAGAGCTGATCACTGGATCTGTTCACCGTGGAGTGGGGGGGGGGTGGGCACTGCCCTCCGGCTTAGTGTCTGAGCACTCCATCGCTGCTCCACCAGGGCCCTCTGCAGGGCAGGACCAGAGACTGCCTGGTCCTGCACCATCTTCCCACCCTTGGCACCTCCACGTGTCCTGCTGAGGCTGCTGTGTCAGTCCATCTCATGGGAGGTGTCCTGACTTTCAGGTGTCCTCTACCTCAAACTGGGGTCCCTCTCTTTCCTGATGCCACCGTGTTCCTCCCAGGATGGATTGAGGACCCGTGAGTTGATCTCTACATCCCAGGGCTCTGACCCTTGACTTGCAGTTCCTGAGGACACCTCTCCTTGGATGTTCAGTGGGCAGTGCACACAGTCTTTCTGTTTGCTCTCCACTTGACTTAGAAGGACAAGCGTTTTGCTGGGGTTGGGGGAAATTTATAGAGCAGGTCGGTTTCCCATCTGACCATGCAGACTCATTCTGATTCACAACCTTGATAGCCTCGCCAGCTGCTCTCCCCACTCCTTCCCTGGGTTCACCGGCTCCATCCCCTCTTCCTTTCCGGCCCTTCCTGGCCAGCCCGCTGGGCAAAGGCTGCCCCTGTGATCCTTTAGGGTAGGTTTCTCTCAGCCTTAGAGCAGTGGTTCTCAACCTTTCTAATGCCTCGACTCTTTAATACAGTTCCTCATGGTGTGGTGACACCCAACCACAAAATTATTTTTGTTAATACTTCATCACTGTAATTTTGCTACTGTTATGAATCGGGTGACCCCTGTGAAAGGGCCTTCGACCCCCAAAGGGGTCGAGACCCACAGGTTGAGAACCGCTGGAGCAGCATTAGGAAGGTTCAGAACCACTGGGCTAAGGATAGGTTCCCAAACTTAGAGTCTAAGGCATAGGTTCCCAAACTTAGCTGGTCTGCTGCCCCCGTTTCAGGAAAGAAAAAAAAGATGACGTAGTGCCCCACCTGCAGCGGAATTGCCACCTTTGAGGATGCTGCCTCCCTGGAGTTCACCTTCGAGGCCAGCCTGCCCTTCGGCTGACAGTGGAGGAGTGCCACAGGCCAGTGTCCGATTGCAGGCTTGTCGGTGTCGGTGTCGAAGGACCCAAGTCTGGGGGTTCCAGCGTTCTCTCTCCAATCAGTACGCTTGGCCGGTCATCTTTATGAATTTGAGTGTTGCTCTACCTTCTGCCCCCATTCTTATCCAGGACTTCCTGCTGCAACCCCTCTGAGAGACACTGACAGGGGTTGCTGGGCACTATCTAGTTCTTCAGGTCTCGGCTGTGGAGGCTGGGTTCACGTGGTCCTTCTGTCCTTTGGGCACACTGTGCCCATGCATCCCTGGTTTTCCTTCCTCTTCGTTGCTCTGCTTGGGGAGAGACCACTCCATGGCCCTTACAAGATGCTCCAGATGTACACACCCACCAGCTTGTGTGGCCCCACCTGCTGCTCACCAAAGTGGGACATCAGGCACCGGCTGCTTTTGTTGCCAACTGAGCATGATGTCTCCTGAGAGCAGGGCCCTGGACCCCCAGGCCCAGTATCTTTTTCCCTCCAGGATTTGGTGATGACATAACAAGCTCGGAATCAAACCCCTCCTCCTGCCGGGCAAGTCTGCCCTTGGGACCAATTTTGTCATATCTCAGGAAACAGGCTTGGAGCAAACACTGTGATTTAACTACCTTCTGCCCTTCAGCCAGGCATCCAATCTCCAAAGAAGACTTTACTTCTATCCTGGGGAAACCAGCTTACTCTTCCTGGCACACACACACACACACACACACACACACACAGCCCCAACCCCCCCCACCGGAATCCCCTTTTTCATCTTTGTCACATGGCCCAATGTTCTCTTCCAAAGAGGTCCGTGGAAGTACAAGGGGGTACCTCCCCCCCAAATATGGCAACAAAGCTCCACTGGGTGGAGCTTTCATAGTACGTATTTTCCCCTCTAGGCAAGTACCCAGCAACTCACTCTGAGCTAGTGCACCCAGTGGCGTGACCTGGAAGGTTCTCTCTGGTCACAGTGAATTTTTTGGTAAAAGCAGTTTTGCTCGAATCTAGTTTTATTGTGATGGCCAATTTAAGAGAACAGTGCAAGGCTGTGAAATTTTGTTTCCTGCTTGGGAAAAATGCCCCCGAACTTGTTGTGATGCTGAACACAGCTCACAAGGCGAGTGGTATGGGAAAAACTCAAGTGTGCGACTGGTCTCATCTTTTCAGAAAAGGTGAAATGTTGATTGATGACAAACCTTGTTCTAGACATCCGTCGACCTCCCGAGCAGACTAAAATGTTGACAAAACCCATGCTCTTGTGCTCAAAGACTGACGACAGACCATGGAAGAGATGGGGAAGTTAACTGGACTATCTCGGAGCTCAGTTCAGTGAACTTTAATGGAAGATTTGGGAAAGAGAAGGGTCACTGAGCTATTTGTGCCTCAGGTCCTGACCGACGAGGAAAGGAAGCGTCAAGTGCAAACATGCTTTGCTTTGACAGAACAACTCCAAAGTGACCCAGACATTTTCCCCAAGTTCATTACTGGTGACAAGACATGGCTATTCTTACAACCCCGAAACTAAACATCAATCAAGCCAGTGGAAGATGCCAAGTCACCTCACCCCAGAAAAAGTTCCTCAAGTGAAATCAAAGATCAAGACGATAATTTTTTTGATGTGAGGGGGGATAGTACTTTTAGAGTTCATTCCACGGGGTCAGACTGTTAATCAAACTTTCTGTTCAGAGATTTGGAAAAGATTGCATAACCGTGTGCAATGAAAAAGGCCTGATTTGTGGCAGAGGTTGGGGGGGCTGGTTTTGCCACCACGACAATGTCCCTGCTCGTGCAGCCATCTCAGTGTGCCAGTTTTGGGCAATAAAACCCCAGCATGCCTCTCTTGCCCCTCACACCTGACTCACCTGACCTTGCTCCCTGTGACTTCTTTTTGTTTCTGTGAGTGAAGAGGCACGTGAAAGGACAGCGAGTTGACAATGTAGAAGTGAAGGAAAAAAGAGGGAGATGCTGTCAGCCATCCAAACAGCTAAGTTTGAAAACTGTTTCTAAGAATGGACTCACAGATTTGACAAATGTAGTAAGTGCAATGGAGAGTACTTCAAAGGTGATAATATTGTTTTGTAAAAAAAATTTTTAGACATAGCTTTGAAGAAAGATTCTGTTTTGGCGGGGAGGGGGTACCCCTCATAAGCCAGATGGTACCTCTCATGCCCATGCGTACAGCCTCTGCTGCGACCTCTATCTCCACTGTCAGCTGGGTACCCAGGCCCACAGGTCATAGGACCTCCACACCTCTCTGCCTCTAGTGCTCCCCCTCCCGTTAGGAACTCAGCTCTAGTCGGCTCCCCTCTATTCCCCCCGCCCCCCATTCCTACAGACACCCAAAGCTCTTTGCCTCAGAGCCTTGCCCCTGCCCAACACCTGCAAATGGCTAGCTCACCTCTTCTCTCTCCTTCCAGGTATCTGCCCAAAGGTCACTCCATCAGAGAGGTCTGTCCTGACCCCCAGCACTGCCCACACTCCATCCTCTACCTCACCCCAGTTTCACTTCAGAACACTCCTCAGCCCATCACCTATTACAGATCCAATGGTCTGCTTTTCTCCATCATACTTCCTCCTCCCCAGCCCAGCCCAGCCCACTCCTGTCGAGGGGACTCCTACTCATAGCCACCACCCTCTGGCACCCCATAAAGCAAACCCAGATGGTTTCTGAGGTGGCCAGTCCTAACGGAAGCACCCTGCCTCATCTTTCTCTCCAGGAGCAGGTGGTGGGCTGGAACCTTCGGCCTTTAAGTGAGCAGCCATGTGTTTAATCCACCATGCCACCATGCTGCCCAGTCCCCACACCTGCAGTGGGGCCTGGCACACAGTAGGTGCTTATGAAACACCCGTGGAGGGAGCCAGGAGCTGTGCCCTTCTGATGGATGGCACCGCATCACAAACTCACCTCTTTGAGGGGTCGGCCTGTGTCTTGTCCTCTCAGCCCCTGTGCAAGTTTACA